ACATCGGCAGCGTCACATCCTACAGCAGACACTTCTGCTCCAGCCCAACCAGTCAGACGCCCAATATTTCACATAACCGCTGAGATTTAACTTAATATTTCAATATTTCAGCAACACATTCATGTTTGCAGTTTTCAGATGTCATTAACGGTCACATGACATGCAGCTAGTCAAATAAAATATAAAATGATAAAATATAATAAAAGAGAGAATAGTATATACAATGCAATGCCTGTATAAAGAGAAAACGAGAGAGTCATAAAATTATGATTATATCAAATATTATAAAAATTCAAATAAATGTTATATTTATTTAATTATATATATTATATATAGTTTCCAGTTATTTAGAATTTATAACATCAAATATTAAAATCATAACTATATTATAAAATTATTATTATTATATTGAATTAAATATTGTACAAATTCTAACAAATAAATTAAATGTATTTAATTAAGGATATGTTTTTATGAAATGTAGAGGAGGAAAAAGTGTGATATTATGCTTTGGAATGTAGTGAAGTAAAAGTAAGTTTCTCAAAATAAAAAAATCTTTATTAATTAAATAACATTAATTTATACAATGCAATGCCTGTATAAAGAGAAAAAGAGAGAGTCATAAAATTATGATTATATCAAATATTATAAAAATTCAAATAAATAAGTTATATTTATTTAATTATATATATTATATATAGATTCCATTTATTTAGAATTTATAACATCAAATATTAAAACATTAACTATATTATACAATTATTATTATAATATTGAATTAAATATTCTAATAAACGAATAAAATTTATTTAATTATACATTATATAGTTTACATTTAGAATTTAAAAGATTAAATATTATAAAATTATGATTATAATATTATATAAAATATTATAAAAATTCAAACAAATAAATGACATGTATTTATTAGAATTTATATATAAAAATATTTATATAAGGGTGTTTACAGTGGGTCTTGGGTCCATGTTATATTCACACTGGTGTTGTAGGACTACAGTCAAACTGAATATAATAATAATAGTTGTATTTTACACTACAAGTTACAATACTGATATTTATATCTTACATTTTTCACTTTCAAACCTTCAAACCCTCCAGCTTTTAACATTTCAAATGACACACTGCTCGTGTGTAAATGAACACAGTGCTGCACTTCACTCTCACAGACTATTAACTTAATTAGTAAAATCACACCCATTGATTTGATAATCACACTAAGTTACTCTATCAGTTTACTTCAATTGTGCAGCCCCATTTATTTATATAAATTTTACATTTAATTTAATTTTTCACTTTTCATCAACTCACAAACCCCTGTTCAGAAATCCCAGTGCATTTAAAACACGGATGGAAATTTATTTCGAGACGATCACTGATTGACTAACATATTGATCAGGGCTGCGTTTCCCAAAAGCATCGTAAGTAGTGGTCGACTGATATATCGCCAAGACCGATATATCGGCCGATATTTGGCATTTTTTAAATATCGGCATGCATTCGAGGCAGGACTTTTATTTTGACGGCGCTAAGAACGGCAGCGCCTGAGCACACAGTGCTTACATTCTCCCTCTTGTTCGCTGTTGTCCTTCAGTTCCGTCTAATATATGGATTATCTAATACGTCTGTCTAATAATCCAATACTTTGTCATCTAAAGTATAAGTATGTTTATTTAACACATTTAATTTTTAATAAATTTTCAAATTAATTCAAATTTTTTAAATATTAATTAAAATAAATAAAATTATATCGGCTTTATATCGGCCATCGGCCACCCTTCTTTCCAAGATATCGGCATCGGCAGTCAAAAAACCAATATCGGTCGACCACTAATCGTTAGCTTAAGTACATCGTAGATTGAAACCAATGGCCCTACGATCAATTTAGGCTTACGATGTTTTTGGGAAACGCAGCCCAGATCTATAAATCGGTTAAAGCCCGTTCCCACAGTCCAACGCTCTCAGAGAGAAGGGAATAAAGGGAATAAAGCTTTACAGGGAACAATCATGGAGGTCAATAGTTAAGAGCATCATTCATGATGAACAAAATACAATTGCATTTATACAACAATTATATTTATTTCAATTATAACTATTTAAGGGGACATGCACACACATTTAAATATTTATATAATATATCTTTTCATACAATATTTCAAATATCATATATTCAATAAATATTTCAGTAATCTACATTTTATAAATTAATTTGAGCATGTTACTCAAAAAGTGGCTCTTACACGCATCTAATTAATAGAATAAATGTTTGAAATATATGTAATATTTATATTTAATATATAAATATATTTTTTGTTTGTTTTTTATAATTTTTTAAATAGTTGACTCTTTAATGTCAGTGGATATAAAAATATAAAGATAAAATAAAAATCAATGTTTTAAATATAAGTATTCCTGTATATTTAATGTGTATATTCATATATTTAATAAATTAAATATTGTATAAATTATATACAGCACACACACACTCTCACTCACACACACACACACACACACACACACGGGACAAAACATGTCCAATTGTAACTGCTAATAGGTTTTTAAATGTAAATATTTTCAATTGTAAATGTTATGGGGGATTAATAATAAAATGTATTTAACACAATTATCCTCTTCAATTTAATTTTATCATTATTATATCAAATCCATGACACTTATTGTCTTCTCACTACATCTAAAACAGTGAGTCCACAGAGAGGGGTTCAATCGTTCATATGCTATAAAATGGATACAAATGTTTTTTAATGATGTGAATCTTTTATAAACAATAACATACTGTTTGTTGTGTTTGTTTTAATACAGTAACTGATTGATTTAATGTATTAGATTCAGTACAAAATCAGGTTTTCGTCACCACCGTCAGATTTGTCAACTCTGTCAGATGGATATTTTGATAAGATTTCATTATGATATTTTATATTTGTTGAGGAATTGTTGGTTACATGTGAAAGTGTAATCTGTCTGCTAACATGAGAATGTGTTTTGAAATGTTAAAAACATCCTGATGCTGTTAAAGCTGTTAAAGATAAAGTTGAAATTATATTACACAGCCCAAGGTTAAAAAGCACATTTTGATAAAAAAAAAAAGAGTAAAGTTGGGAGGTTGCATCAAAGCATAGCTCAGTAGCTTAGTACACATAAGATACATAAAAGTAGTTTCATTTGTCTGAGTACAAGAACTTATTTTTTTAATTTTACACCCTGTTTTGTCCCACTTCTCAAGAATCAGTGATATATGTGAGCCTGCAGCACAAAAGCAGTGTTAAGTCGCTGGGGTATATTTGTAGCAATAGCCAACAATACATTGTATGGGTCAAAATTATAGATTTTTCTTTTATGCCAAAAATCATTAGGATATTAAGTAAAGATCATGTTCCATGAAGATATTTTGTAAATTTCCTACCGTACATATATCAAAACATATATCAAATATGCATTGCTAAGAACTTCATTTGGACAACTTTAAAGGTGATTTTCTCAATATTTTGATTTTTCTGCACCCTCAGATTCCAGAACTACATAATACATACATAGTTCATAAACATATAGTAACATAATAGGCTATAAACAGTACTAATGGTATTAGTTAGATGTCAGATATGTTAGCCTATGTATTTTTATGCTTCTCCGAAAACAAACTTTAGACAACCAAAGAAAATATGTAATTTGAGTTTCTGACAAAATGTTTTAATGTTATAAATGAGTCTATTTCGAAATGTCTAAAATGTTATAAATGAGTCTATTTTTCGAAATGTCTAAAATGTTATAAATTAGTCTATTTAAAAATATTTATTAATTTAAATGAATTCATTACGTAGCTAAAAAATCATTTGAAAAAAAAAATGAAGACTGGTTTCGTCCAGAGATTTATATATTTATATAAATATATAAAATATATATATATATATATATATATAAAAAAGTGTCACTGATTTGAATTAATTACAGTCCAACGAGACACATGATTTGAGGAATCATTTACAAATGCTGCAGGATGATGGACAAACTGAACTTTTAAAACTACGGTATAGAGTATAAGCAATAGTAGACTTGGTGAACAGCACAAACTCAGTTGCTGTCTCTCACCCCGAGAACCTTCTGCTGGCATCTGAAGCAGGCCGGGGCCAGAAACTGCTCGTAACAGCGCTCGCAGTAGACGGAGCCGCGCTCCTCCACGAAACCCACGTCTGCCAGAGAACTGCGGCAGTGAGAGCAGGTGAACTCCTCCTTATGCCACGATTTGCCCATCGCCACCAGGAACGGACCCCTGCCAAACACCAGAGATGATTACTACACAAAACATCAGATGAACAGCTTCATCTCAGTGTCATCCAGCAACACCTCCATGAGATGACAATTACAGTTAACTAAGACCATCAAAAACATTTTTATTACTTAAAATAAATGTTAACTGAAATAAACTACTACTTCTACTACTACTATTATTATTATTGTAATTTCAGCTAAGGCAACATTTCTCATTTTAATTCAGAAACATGATGGTCTTGTGTAGGTGTTCAATGTTACAAAATTTGTAACAAATGTAACACTACCATTCTAAAGTTTGACGTCAATCAATAAAAAAAAAAAAAAAACTAATACTTGTATTCAGCAAGGACGCATTAAATTAATTAAAAGTGGCAGTAAAGACTTTTATAATGTTACAAAAGATTTCTATTCAAATAAATGCTGTTCTTATGAACTCCGTACCCACTGTATATATATATATATATATATATATATAATTACCTAAACAGAAAAATAAATAATAGAATATTAATACTCAAAAATACAAAACAATATTTAAATGTATTCTCTCATTTTAAGCCCTCAAGTTCCCAGACATGCCAAATAAAAGTAATGTAACAATTTTCATAAAGGACTTATCAAATGTAGTTTAGAATCAGTTCAGTTCAGTTATAAAGTATCAGCCTGATGCTTCAAGCATGTTTTGAGCTGCTAACATGAACACTATCATTTAGATGAGTTTATCTGGGACTGAATGAATGATCTATTGTGTGAATAATATCAGAAAGATCCTCCACATTCAGATAATGATTTCACACGGAATGAAGTTTGTCCTTTATTTGAAGCCACTTTTAAGATTGTGAAACATGAACTGTTGTTCATGTACAATGACAAAGACACTCTTTTAAATATTATTAATTATATAGTTTATTGATTTAGTTGAGATGTTACAGGTCACATACTTAGGAATAATTTATATATTTATAAATATATATATATATATATGTATTAGGGGTGTAACGATACACATATTCGTATTGAACCGTTCGGTACGAGGCTTTCAGTTCGGTACGCATTACAAACCGAACGATTCGATTTGTTGGACTAATCCTATTACATTTGGAAAATTATTTTGGGTAAAGCAGCACCCTTGCTTGTGTGAGATTGCTAAACTATATCATATGATATAAATATAAGCGGGTCATTTTTTTACCTCGTATCTTGAATTTTAGGCTCCTATAATCATTTATAATAATATAATTAACACGTTATTTTTCCAAAATGAATTGTGTCAAAGTAACATGACTTAGCTTAGCATTAAGCTGGCTTGAAAAAGCCATTTAAGCTTATTATTATTCTTCTGAGACTAAATTTGCAATTGGAACTCGTCCTAGAGTTTTCAAGCTAGAACCACTAAACTCGGCCCAGATCTTCAGACTGTTCTGACTCGGTATGCTATATCTTTTCTAACTGATCTGACTTACACAGTTTTCATAAAAATCCCATGCTAGCAATATGCTAATTCATGCTAGCAACATCCTAAATCACTGGTTTTAGCTGTGTTTTTAATAAATCAGTTGGTTTTAAGCTTTTTATTTTGCTAAATCAGCTGGTTATTTGATGTTGTTGTTTTTTATAAATCAGCTGGTTTTAGCTGGTTTCTTTTTTTTGCTAAATCAGCTGGCTTTAACTTGTTTTAGCTGGTTATTAACTTTTTTGCTAAATCAGCTTCTTTTTTTTTGTTAAATTGACTGGTTTTTAAAAGGGGAAGTGTAAATGCAGAGCACTAATTCCGAGTATGGGTCACCATACTTGGCCACATGTCACATGTCACTTCACTTTTAATAAATCAGCTGGTTTCAGCCGTTTTTTTTTTTTTAGCATTTTTTTGCTAAATCAGCGTGCTTTTAATATATCAGCTGGTTTTAACTGGTTTTGGCCTTTTTGGCTTAATCAGCTGGTTTTAAGTAGTTTTTTTTTGTTAAAACAGCTGGTTTTTAAAGGGGTCATATGATGCTGCTAAAAAGAACATTATTTTGTGTATTTGGTGTAATGAAATGTGTTTATGCGGTTTAAAGTAAAAAAAAACACATTATTTTCCACATACTGTACATTATTGTTTCTCCTCTAT